TAAATCCCTGTGGATATTTAACAGAGCTAACCCATTTAGCCGAGAAGTAGTATTTTGTAAATAAGTTTTCAACTTTCTCAATTTGAAAAAGGTCCTTTCATTCGTATATGTTGTAATAAGCAAACAAGCAAGAATATTAAATACCTTAAAAATATTTGGAAATTAAGCCTCCTTATACCGATTGAGCGCATCAATAGCATGCTCAGGTAAAATAATAAAAGTAGTAAATATTTATACCACAATTCGAATTCACTGATTAAATTGATTCAGTATCAATATCATAGGAATAAAATTTTGCTAAATATTTAATTATACCAATAATGGCATCAGAAAACGAAGAAGGGTCTTTAGGTAATAAAATTTGAAGATTACCAAAGACTTGTTTTTTATCTAAAAACCGTACTTTAATTTGCGATAAAAAAGTATCTAAGAATGGAATGAAATTGGATATTTTATAAGATTTGGTTTGATTCAATGTCTATATCAATATTATGAAATATTCAACTACATTCATTCTTCCTGTACAGTTTCCTCCAAATCAATAACTTGAACCAAATCGAAATTTGGTTTTTGTAAATTTCTACATAGTAGTGAGCTATAGGAAAATAATTTATTAATGCAACTAGCAGTAAGGATAAACTCTGCTTGATATTGAAAAATTTTGATGGGGCAGGGGGGGGGGGAGGTCGAGGGAATTTTTTTTATTACCTTAAAATAATATTTAGAAAAACAGTCAAATTTGCTATGGGAAATGAAATTTCCCCCTTTCCCCATCCCCCCCCCCCCATTGGTTACGCGCCTGGGCGAAATTATGTTTTGATATGCTGCTTAGATTTAATGCCATTTGATGCTATAAACAATAAAGAAATGACAGATTTTCTAAAGGTTTAAAATTTATATAAAATGATTATTAAAAAATAAATTGCCTATAGTAATATAAGATAATTGATTCCTCGCCAGAGTTGCCAAATATGACAACCATTAGTCGGGGTATCGTCTAGAGACGATTTTTATTTATCTATAAAGGCCCATGTTTTAAATCTGATTGATTCTGGACCAAAATTTTGTTCTACTTTTGATTTATGGACCGATCATTTCAAGCGTTGAAATTATATCACATTTAGTCTTCATCATTTAGATGAAAATTTTGATTTAAAATATTTTACCCTAGCAACTAGAAAGTGACTCAAAAGCATACTGGGGAAACAATATTATCAGAGATTGATAGTATTGAAGAGGAGTTTCATAGCCAAAATAATACAAAAGGTAACTGATGCTGGGGCCAATGTCAAAAGAAGCGTCAGATTAGGGGATTATTAGCATCATTTATGCTTAGGGCATGGACTTCATGATTTGGTTACAGTTGATGGCATAAAAAAAGTTACCAAAATTGATATTCTCATTAAAAAAATTAGATATTTCAGCCCTTAGATATCGAGTAGCTGATTTGGAATGTGAAATTGAGGCTGAACATAGTAAATGTCAGCAGTCAATTTATGAGACAGGTAATATCTTGGATATTGATTATTCTGATCCATACCTTGATGAGCATTTTGATATGTCTGATGAATCGGATAATAGAAATGGCATTGCACCAACCAATCTAATTAATGCAAAAACTTTAAAATTAAATTGCCCTACCCGTTGGCATAGCATATTAATTATGCTAGAAAGTGTTCACAGTGTAAACAAAATTCCTATAAATAATGTTCTAAATCAAATAGGAAAACAATCTTTAAAACTCTTTAATAATGAATGGGATATGATTGATGAGCTTTACGAGTATTAAATCCATTCCGAGAGTCGGTGGAATTTCTTTCCTCCCAAAAAGGATTGACAATAAACTTAGGGTTATTATTTCGCAATGAAAAGCTCATATACAAATCAATAGATCTGATTGCTCAGATATTATATGCTTAAAAGAAAATATGAAAAAAAAAGCTTGATCCTAGGTTTCCCATTACTGAACTTCAAGTTATTTTATATTTTTATTAATAAAATTAGATTTTAAATATTATATATTAGCAACTCTACTTGATCCCAGATTTCAAAATCTTAAAGTTGTTTCAGAATATTTAAATTCGAATTTTACGACAACATTGCAATTTTTAATTCGACATTTAAAACAGAGCATGATAGAAATGCACAGAGTGAAATTCAAGTTGAGGATAATGGTCAAACATCAAGCTCTTATATATCTAAATTAGCTCGTAAATATTCCCTTCCAAGTAACGATTATAACAATAAGTAATCTAGAACAAGAATGCCATATTTTGCTCGGCCAAAATAATATCCCAGATATCCCAGAAGAGGATGCATTAATTATTTGGAAGAAAAAGCGACTGGAACTTCCTATGCTTGCTAATTTAGCTAGGAAGGTTCTTTGTATACCTGCAACCAGTACACCCAGCGAAAGAATTTTTTCCGTTGCTGGATTAATACTCAATGCTAAAAGGACTTCTTTATGCCCCATAAATCTTGATAAAATACGGTTTATTCATGACAATTATAATTTTGCTAAATCTGAATTCTGACTTATTATATTTCATACTTTATATTTTGCTTGCATTCCAAATTTATTTTAATTATGATAAAAATCAATAGAATATTTCTTATATGTGTTGTTGATGTGACTCTGATCTGAGTAAAAATGCAATTCCTTAGTCTATTTCTGAGAATGAGAAAATACATAAATTTAAATTGGAGTGAGACAGGAAATAATTTAAGATCAATTAAACTATGTTAACAATTTGTTAGAAAAGATCGCCCAAATAAATTATAAAAAATTTAATACATTACAAATTAAATTCATTAAAAAAAATTTAAAATAAATATTGAGCCGCCGCCGCCCACAATTTAGTAGACGGCGGCGAAATCGGCGCACAGGTCTAAGTATAATACAGCAATCCCCTCATCTGCCCTTGTAGAACGCTTTTTTAGTATAGCTAATGCCGTATTAACTGCCAAATGTTCCTGTCTATCAGATGAAAATGGAAAAACAATTGTTATTAAAATTTAATAAGAATTTTTTTTTATAAATATTAATATCTTTTTATTCGATATATTATATTGTATTTATAATTATATTATCAAAATAAAACTGTATTATTTTTTAACATGGCTAATATATTGCGTTAAAACATATAAGACATTTATTTATATTAAATTAAATTTAAAAAAAAAATTATCATAAAATTTTGAACGAACGTGAATAATGCGTTCCTTTTTTTTGAAAGTGAACGTGTTCAATTTTAGTCAATGAACATTAAACGTGTTCGATTTTTCAGAAATGTTTACAAGCACTATATAATACACATAAAAAAAATTTTTATCGTTGTTTTAATAATCAATGGCTAACTAAGCAGGATTTATATACTCCTCTAATTTAATAGTTAATTTTTAAAAAATATTTATCAATAAAAGATGTTCCTTCCAAGCTCCAACTAATTATGCGTATACGTTACATGTTTAATTAATATTTTTTATATCAAAAGACCAATTTCCTTTTAGTTTTTTTAAGATGATACAATAATGGTCTTTTAGAAAATAAAATTACTCATTCAAACCTGCTTCATTAAAAGAATTTGATTCTATATAACTTTCCAAATCTTATAAGGCAAAATAGTTCTTGTAAAAATTAAGGATATCCTAATTTCTTTTTTATAAAAAGTCATAGCTTTCTTTTTATTCAAAATAAGTTTACATATATTCTTTTTTGTTCAAAAATAAATTTACATATATTCCTCTTTATTAAAAAATATAACTTATTTTGATCATTTTATAAAATATTTTTATGAGATAAAATTTGTTATGATATACAATATAACTTATATTTTTTTTATTATATGCCAAATTACTTATTGAATTATGAAGATTGGTTATGCACAGACAGTATAGATAAATAATTTTGTTATGCAAATGAGATAAAAAAGCGAAATAATTGTAAATATATACTTTAACATTTTCTTAATTATTCACATTTTATTTTTCTTATAATTTTTTTTATTTTTTACTATAGTATTTTTATAATGTTAATTCAATATGTATTACTTTATAATTTTATAATTAATGGAGATGAATAAAGGAAAGCATAAATTATGTTATTCAATTTATTATCTTTTTTTATTTAGATTCAACTATGTTTTTTATCTTCTACAATATGCTCAAACCTTCATTTTTATAAAATTGATGCACAAAATTATTTTATGCAAATAAATTTTTTATAGATATTCCGATGACTTTTAATAAAAAACTTATAAGTTTAATTAAAAAATTATTCTTTTAAAAATAATTGCTCGTGAGAATTTGGTCAAAAGAAGTAAGAAATAGGGGTAATTACATGTTCGAATTGAATGAGAACAAAAATGATGTTTACATAACATAATGCGTATATACTACTAGATTGATGATTCATTAATAAAGTTTACATACACAGAAGTCAGCTGTAGCACTATTTTGCAGTATGCACATCGACTAATTGTCTTATCGCTAACTAAATTATCGATAGGAAACCATAAAATGGTACTACATCTGACTCATATGCATCTACAATTTTAAAGGCATAATTCGCGAATCTAATGGTGTATTTAAAATCATTGAGTAACTATTTATTGGAATATATATTTAAACTGATCAGCAGACTATAAAAAAAATGATCTATCAAATAATAAGCTTATTGTTTAAAAATTTCCTTAATTTGCAATCTTATTTTATATCATTGATATTCATGACACAGAGCATGACTGGGCATCAGCATTTTCATAGGATAAAAAAAAATTGTGGGCAAGATGCATCACCAAATATATTTCCTTCCCTATCCCCGTGAAAGATATATGAAGGTTAATAGTATCTACACCTCTCCCTCCTAAGACATGTTTACTTGACATTGACATTATAATGTGTTACTTTTTCGCATGTACTTTGATTATGTTTGTATATTGGAAGTACATAAAACGGTATGCAATCTATTAAATTGTCTCATTTCTAAAACATACTGATGATATCCTTGAATACAATTTATTATAACTAATTTCGTGATTATTTTATCCTAAAAAATATTTATATACTAAATTATATCATAAATTGAATTATTTTTACAAAAAAAAAATAAAATACATTCAAAAATAATCTAAATTAAAAAATGGAGACAATTTTACGTTTTAAGCTTGCTGGCGGTATAATGAAACATCATCGTAATATAAAAAATACATAAATAAGTCAATAAAAGCTTCAAAAGTATACTTTAGAATTTTATCCATCATATAATCGCTATGTATATTTTCTCTTTAAATCATAATAATTAATAAAATTAAATTTAGAAGTCATGATTGGTTTGATTATGTAAAATATATATATATATAAATGCCGACAAAAGCATAATACTATTAACAAGATGTTCATTAATACAATTAGATAGTAATTTGGTTTTAAACTTTTACAGAATAAATAGTATTCCCAAAATTAAATTGAGTAAAACAATGCAAAATGAGATTTTTTCAATAAATGACTGTTAAAAAAATGAGATTCTAAAGATTCTTTTGATAAACTTTTAAGCAGATATGAGAATTTTTTAAAAAAATTACGTGACAAATAACTAAAAAGATCTATAATTTTTACATATGAGATCTTAAATAGCGATTAATTTTTAAAATAAATAATACATAAAATAATATTTTAAAAAATTTTTAAAAGAAACAAACATACACATTTACATAGAATCGTCCCACTCTAACCCAGTATCCAATGACAAGTTATTTTTTTTGTTAGTTAAATATTCCTTGTTTTCCCCGTTCTCGGGTGAATAATTGATTATATCGGTGTTGGGAGAATAGGAAAAGTTTTTGAAATTACGAACAGTATTTTTATTAGTTAACGAATCAAATAGTGTTTCGCCATTGGGACAAGATTGATGCATGTTGGAAGAGCTCAATTTTGTAAGATTAACATTGGTTTTATGGTTAACGTTGTTAGGATCCGTATCTAGCATTCTTTTGACTCTTTGAGTTAAAAAATGTTTAAATTTTTGACCATTTAACTGCAATTTTTTGGTATCACCGTTCAGCTTATGCGTGGATAAGGGGAAAGAATTCTGATTAAGGTTATCATGATTCGATTTGTCACCATCATCAATGTCGACGTTTTGGTTTGAAAGTGGATAACATTTAGATTCTTATTGGGATATAAAAAAGGATATGATATTTAAACTTATACTATAACTATAGTTATGATTAGGACTGTGCCGTTATTAAATATCGAATCGGGCCGATACCTGTAAAAATAGCGATCAGATCCGATCTTTTTACTTTTTACTTTTTCTTTTTTTGTTATTTTATGTTATGTATATTTATACATTATTATAATATTTTCTAAATAATTTTTTATTAAACAATGCAATGCAAATGAACAACACCCTCTAAATTTTATTTCTTTTTTTAAATAGATTTATAATATTTTAAAAGAAGGGAACACCCAAAGTTTTATTTATTTTAAATCTTTTTATAACGCCAATTTTATTATTTATACTTTAAATAAAAGAATATTTTTAAATATGGCATCTGAATTATGGAAATATTTTACAAAAGACAAAGATAATTTTGCAAAATGCTTTATCTCCGGAATCATCTGAGTCTGCCTTCAGTACGGCAAGAGATATAGATAGTCCATATCGTAGAAGCTTATTGCAGAAAATCTAGAGGCTCTCATATTTATTTAAAAAATCTAATATATTATAATTCATACCAACATAAAATGGATATATTATTAAATATATATTTTTTTAATTAGTCTTAATTGTAGAAATAAAAAATTAAATGCATAATTCGATTTTATTTTTTGCATAAAAAATATTGATTTCTTAATTACATTTGGTTCAATAGGGGATGGTGAAAAATCAGTATAAATATCGGATCGGTTTTGAAGCAATATCGGAAAATATCGGATCGGATCAGTGAAAAATATGTGGATCGGCACAGCCCTACTTATGATATAAGCTAATAAAATACAAGAATTCTTTATAAACACTAGGACTGTGCCGATATTAAATATAGGATAGGACAAATATAGATGGTAGATAAAATGAATTTAAATATTGACATCGGTTATTGGATGGGTTTTATAGTAATATATTGAAAATATCGGATCGGTGAAAATTTTGTAGGCATGCCCTAATATAAAACCAAGATATAATAATAGGAAGGAATTTAATAACGACTAAAATTTAAAAAATGGATATTAAAAAATAAAACATTTTTTTTAAAACCTTTCCTATCGGGTTCACATTCATCGCAAGAATCATGAGAACAACATGATTTCGAGATTACAGAGGGAGACGAACAATCGCTTTCAATATCGAAATCATCAAAATCATTTTCACATTCATCGGTGATGACTTTCTTATTATTGGAATTACTAGAATTTAATTTTGAGGATAAGTCACTGGCTGGTGAGAGGGTGGTATAGGAATCAAATTTGGTTTCACTCCTCGGTGTATTTTGATTGTCTTTTAAATAATTTATAGTAAGAAAAAAAATAACTATTTAGCCGCCATTTGCTAAAATTGTTTTAAAAACGTTCTAGGAGTTTTATTTAGCAATTTCATTTATCTTATAAAAATTACCATTTCCTAAGGGCACACTTTCGAAAGAACTATCGTTACAAAGTGGGTTGACAGTGACCTGCAGGCGAGGGAATGAGGAATCATCCCAATCCAATTCCTCGGCAGTTTTAGAAGCGCGTTTACCCAGGGTTATCAATTTTGTAAATCCAGCTAAAAAAAATTCCTTTCGAGTTGTTCGGTGGGATGGGTCAGCGGTAATGATAGAACTCTTAGGATACTTGAATAATGGGAGGTTTGGAAATATAATAAAATATTAAGATGACTAAGATTAAATTAAATCACTCTTGCCTTAACAATTTTACAAATTTGGAAGCAGAAAATTAGTCCTAAAATTTCAATTTTATTAACGATGTTTTTGTGTAATCAAGTCACTCTGTCCTATTTTCTTTATTACCTATGTATTTATATTTACCATTCCCGCCAGTATAATGATAGTTTTGTGGCATGCAAATGCTTGAAAAAAGATAATTCAGTAATTTAAATCAGATAATTAAAATTTTAAATTTGTAACATTATTTTATAGGGTTTAATTACACCGTCTTATGTCTGTAAATATCTATGACTCTTTTGTAAGACTTTTTAAATTTTATTATAATATTTCTAATATCTATTCCATTTCTTAGTCAACAAAAATTTATTGTTAACACACAAATCATTATAAATAAATTCCTCCAACTCACCGGTAAACTATTGAGCGGTTGATAATTCTTAGTAGAACTATCCCCAATCATGTGATTCCTTTCTCGCGCACCATCTTTATCAAGGCCACTATAGTAACTCGCATTACTGTTCTTGAAAGCTCTTTTGATGAAGGAAACTGGCGCAGCTCTCAATAGTTTCGATAGATTCGATGTGTCCCCTTTTTCGACATCGTATTTATTTAAATGCCCGTACTCGCTCCTATCTCCAAAGTCACTAAAATTTTTCTCGCACTTCCCTTTAAAAGTGTTACCATGGAGGCCTTCATTCTCGTCGAAATTTCTAACATTAAGGTATGAACCGGAACGACGATGCTTAAGCGCCACGTGAGTCAAAAGGGCCAATAAAACAACAGCGACACAAAACCCGGAACCAATCGTTATAAGGTTTATTTGAGGGTTCCTTATAATGTTGTCATCATTTTCCGATAATGGTTGGGACATCAGGCTATAAGCTCTGGGAAGCGAAAGGTCGCCACCCACGATTTGAATGGACCTAGACAACTTTGAGGGAATTATTCTTTTGATGGAAGAACTTTTGTTGGAGATTTCCTCATTATGCTCCTTATTTGTTAAGTTTTTTCTCGTTTTACCTATATGGACAAGGCGAGAAAGATCGGGTTTGATAAAAAGCTGAATGGATAATTCATTAGTGGCTAACTGAGGATCTACTTTTATATTTGATTTATTATCATTTTTCGCCATGTTGTAAAAACATTTCAAGGTCAAATCTAAACGGCTAGATTGAAACATCGACACATTGTGATCGATTATGGGTGGAAGAAAATATCGCAGTTCTTTGATAACTTTGGCATAAGCTTTGATGGTGTTGTCGTTCCTAATCAAGACCGTTTTGACTCGATCTTTTCCATCTTTCACTAATTTTCTGTTGAGTCTTTGGTATACATTGGGGTTATTCCCTGTTATTTTTTCAAACTCGAGCCCGAATGAGGATATTAGATCAGCTGGCAGCATAAAAAAGCCTTGTTCAAATGGAGAGTAGGCTTTAAGCAAAGTTGAAATTTGGCATTTAGCGACTTTAAAAGTATTTTCGATGGACACGGGTTTTCGATAATATATATTTACGTTTTCCTTTATGGAGGGAATGGGGGCCAGAGTCACGTGGCTAAATAATTTAACACCGTTGTTGGTTACATCAGACATGTAACTAACGGTTTCGATTGCATCTGTATTTATATTCGCATCAACTTTCCCATCCTTTTGGTGTATGTCTTCTTTCGATCCTATATACTTATCATTATGGCCATCTTCTATACGATTAATATTAACAGTTTCATCGTCCGCAATCTTCATGCCCGTTGAATCATCGCCTTCTCGTTGTAATATAAGTTTAACGTCATTGTGTGATATTTTAATTTCATTGTTATTATAAAGATTTTCGACGTTTTCAGAACTATCCAACCACAAATTAACGCTAGGCTTTATATCGTTGATCTGGACAACCAAATCATTTCGCTTATTTTTCTGAAGGCTAACTAGATCTCCTTGATTATCAGTGATTACTTTAGCCGATATTTCATGAAGCTTGGCAAAGTCGGCTACGTCGATTTCCACATCGAAAGGGGTGAATTCCGTGAGCGAAGTTTCTAGATCAAATTTTGGGTCCGTGCCATTTTTGCGACACACGGTGATAGTTTTGAAAGTGACGCGCCGGATTCCAGGTACAGGTCTAAAATAGAGAAAACTAAATTATATCTAAACATGTCAGACAAATAATTTTTAATTATATAAGCCATATAGATGGGAGCAGAGATGACCGACATCATTTTTTTAGCTGATACCGATACTTATAATAGTATTTATGTTTTAATGAAAACATAAACATAAGAAAGATTAATTTAAATGTAATATGCTTTGCATGGTATATTTTCCGATTTAGACTCGCCTTAAACTGATCACTGAGTTAGTCTGTCAACATAAATTAATTTCTACGAAATAGTCAATAAATTTCACCTATCGAGTTTAAAAAATTTAATTTTATCATTTTTCATATTCAAGGTTATTTTTTAATCATATATTAGGTTATCGTGTTTTAAATGATATTTTGCAAGACACCAGTTTGTGTTGCTAGGCGAAATCAAAAAAGTTTGCACTAGCATTAATTTGCGACTACATGCGAAATCAAATATTCAACACTGTCTTGATTAGTTTGAGGCCGGTTTTAGGCCTAGGTTCGAATCCCGTTTACAATATATTATTCTTTTCAAATAATAATTTGATGGCCTAAAATTTAAACCAAAGCAAATTTTTCATTAATATTTTCTAGTTTCATGGGTTCGGAAATGTGCAAGCCAAGCGGATAATTAAAATAAAATTCCCAATTATGATATGATATATGAGAAGAGAAAGTTAAAGAATTAATAAGATAAATATTTAAATAATCGGTTTTTTTAGTTAATATTAGTATCCATTGGGCAGTATTGTATAGATAAAAAGTATCGATCGATACTGAGTAACGGTTGCGGTGCATCCCTGGGTGAGAACATTGATGAAATTTCCCATCTTTGAAATGGAAGGTAATAATGATAATAATGACTATAAAAGATAAAATTTTGATTAGTATTTTACATGAAAGGAAGGTTGACCATACTCGAGTATAAAATTAATTTAAAATTGGATGCGCTTTATACAATTTTAATTATGATACCTCATGATATAAGCATCGTTGGATATTAAATCATTCCAGAAGGGCTTGTAAGAGTAGCCAAATCTGACGGCCCTCACTTTCTTCTCCATTTCGTATTTATCCCATGCCCTAATCGTTAAAGTTTCCGATATTTTGTCTTTATTTTCGCCATTCCATTCATAATCAGGGTTATTAGTAGTAGTTCGATCATAATTCTCGCGATCGATATGCTCTACCCCATTCATTCGTGGTTCCTCGTAATTTTTCATTGATAAGCCCTCATTACAATCGAGTAAGCAATCCGCTACCGTTTCTCTGTCGATTGTGGAACCCTTGATTAAGACCAACTCCGATAAAAAACCTTTATAGTGCTTATCCATTCTCCCTCTTTTGCCTTCCCAACAAGCGCCCACTACTGTTCTAACTTTAACATTTTTTCCCTCGATTTTTCTCAAATCATCGAAAAAACGGTGCGATTCACTGTGAAGTGGCCAATCGTCGACTATCTGGGGGTTCTCTATTTCTCGGGCGGTTTTGATTACGTTATTATTGTTATGAGAGTCAAAGTCTACGTTGATTCGATTGCTATAAAAGGGGTTTTTATTGGGTTTGAACATTTTACCGTCTAGGATTAATTCGAAATCGTTGGGAAATTTAACATTTATAACATAATGATGCCACCGAGAATCGCAAACTTCGGGAAGTTTCCACCTAACCTCGGAGGGACTGAAAAGTTTTTTGCGGTCTTGATAATAGAGGGTAATATAATTATTTTTATTATAGAATATTAAATAACTAAATGAATAAACAACGAATAATAAATGAATAAAAATGTCCAAGACTTATCAATGTTCTAAAAACTAAAATCCTTATAGATTCATTTCTTCCTTAATCGTATGAATACCTAAAAGTTTTTTTACATATTAAAAAATAAGCAATATTATATTACAAAATTTTATAAGATTATTCACACCTAATCCTTCCAAATATTCGTGATGAAGTGCCAGATATTCTTCCTGTCTAATCAGCAAAACGAGCTTGCAATTTTTGACGAAAACGGCTAAATGGTGCCTGTTTAAGGAATGATCGTCGGATCGGCAAAAAATGTGTTCTTTTTTGGATTCCATATTAGAGTCGTGTTTCATCCAAAATAGAAAACTAAAATTGATACCAAAGCCCATAATGGGCTCAATATTCGTATTCAATCCGTTAGAATGATGTGCCGGTTTATCGATTAACAGTTCAGAATCAGAATTCGTAACGTACTCAATTGTGCCCGAACTGTTGACGTCTAAATAGTGAGTTAGCCCGTCAAAGGATTGGATCGACAGACCTATTTCCATTAAATCGGTTATGTAATTCGAACGAAAAACCTGGGTAAAAGAACCGTTAGCCCGGGTCGCACAATACAATATTTTTCGCCGTAATATATTGCCATGGACTATATCGATATTTTCACCTCGATCGCAACCTTTAGCAGCGTTTTCATCGGCGAGAGAATCCAAACTCACAGTGGTTATGTGTTCTGAAATCTGATTTTTATTATTTTAAACAATTCGATATAATAACAATTATACTAATCATTCAAAGAATTAAGATTTAATTAAAATGCAGATTCTTTATTTTTTTATAAAAAAAAGTATTCGATTTTAGGTAAAATTAAAATCCTCGAGGTGAAATATAAGGTTTCCTTTTTTGTGAATGCCTATAGTTTATTTTCTGCCCGTCCCTATTGAAATTTTTAGAATTTTAATAGCGTGCGAACATGGAAAGATTTGATGCTCTTTTACTGAATCTACCAACCTTAGAGCTGAGCCGAATAGAAAAATCAATAATGCATAACTAATTAATCATATGCAACGTAATACAAAAATATGCCCGCTTCTTATCAAAAATCTTAAAATTACAAAATGCTTCGCGTTTACAACATTTTTTTAATATTAAAAATCCGGCACTAAGATTACAGGCATGTTATATTGCAAAATTATAACATAAAAGTAGCCCTTTTACCATTTTATTTAATTATAGTTATACAATATTAAAGAAAAAAAATAAGAATTTTCCTAGTCCTCATTATAAAATTCTGTTTAATTTATAAATTTTTATGTAAAAATTAAGTATTAGTTCCTCCTTGTTGAAAATAAAAATTTGTTAAATTTTTTGCCTAATGAGCTCTTCCTTTAAAATACCATTGTAAAACATATAAAATAAAAGCATTTTTATTAGTGTAATTATACCTCCAAAAAATGTTGGGTAAAATAACTTTAAAGCACGTATTAAATATATACCGATTTATTAATTAAATAAATCCCAAATATATATTAAAAGACATAAATATTATTTATAAAAACAATATAAAATTTAAAAACAACATTTTAAAAAATTTGAGCTGCAAATTTCTAAGCCAATATTCTAAGGCAGATATAAGTATTTTTTAGGAGTGACAGATAGCATCGAAAGATTTTTCCTATAGATTAGATTATAAAAAGGTGAGGTCATGCCCAAAATTGCTAGGTGTCGTAGTAATCATGGAAAAGAAGTGGACTTTATTTGGGAGTGAGTATTTATTTCTTTTGCTTTTTTAAAAAAAACGCGCTTGAGCATTAGCGTAGCGCCTAAAAAATGGAAGGGGGTGGGAAATTCTTTATAGTAAATTTAAATATATCATTTGAATTTTTTTTAAAAAAAATCCTTCTTTTCAAAGAATGAATACTAATTAATTTAAAAGAATATTCCGTGTTACTGTAGGGTTAGGATTAGTAAAATTGTACACAGAATAATTTTAAGCATAGAATAACCCGCCCCTCCATACCCAAGGTTTCATGAATGTTATTGCACATTTGTAGTCTAGAAGTTTTAAAATGAAATATATTAAATCGAAAGTTTATTTTAATTCTTTAATAACAAATTATATCGTATTTCAAATTATTTTTTAAATATTTGAACATTTTTATAAAAAGTTTTTTATTAATATTATTTAAATATACAATTTAGCACATCTTACGTATACAAAGGATTCACGTTTCAATGTCATGGAGTATGAAAAAAATAATTATTGTTTGGTATAAATAAAAGGCCCCCCAAAAAATTTCCGAATTCATAATAAAACAAAGACAAATGGATGGATGATTTTTATATATATTTATAAAATCAGAACTTTTCCCCTTTTATCTCCCCTTGCCTTATATTTATATGGCAAGCCATTCTTTCTTACTTTTTATTTCCACTCTTCCTTGGGTTAATGAGATAATAATACTTACTTAAACTGATAATTTAATTCATTAAAATGCATCTTTGAAGCATTGATTACTAGGGACACGCCATTTTGTTTCCAGTATAAGAATTTTTATAAATAAATGAAACTATGGGGAAATTTTTTTTAAAGTTTTCATAAAAATTTTAATATAAACGGGAAATAAAATGACCAGCTGATATATTATAATATATTTAAATGAATGAATCGTTAGTAGGTTAATTTTATATCGAATTGTCATATCTTATTCGTAGCAAACATTTTATATTTCAAAATATTCCGCTAAGCTTTTGTTTCTAGTTACCTTAAGTCATTTCTTTGCATAAGTTGTATCTTTCCATTCTACCTTCTGCGCATTTTTTCTTAGATTCGAAAATAATTATAAACCTTCTCTTTTTCCTTCAAATTTTTGAATCTAAATATCTTTTTAGCCATTTTTTTCTTTAGTGTAATATCTTAATTGAGCTTATAATTTATTTTGAAAAAAATAATGTATAATATCTAAGCCAATTTATTTCCTATTATAAAATATTGATCACAAAAATTTATCAAAATAATACGACGCAATAATGATTTATCTGATATAAACTATTTTTGTTTTGTGTCAATATTTTATTATATACATGAAATGAAATACATTGTAAAATGCAATGCACACTATTATATTTAATATCCACGATCATTTCCAATTTTCGCAACAATACAAAAATCAATACTAGGAGTGGAATAAATTTAATAATGTAACAATGATTTGTGATTTTAAAAGAAAATTATACAGGAAAAATATTAGTGCCATGTCATTGATGTAAAATAAAATAGCGTTTCGAAAAAATTAATACCAAAATCTCAATAAAAAAAATAGTAAGTGAAAAAACTTTATTAAAAATTTTTCCCACATTAAAAAATTTTTTTGATCTGATAACCATGGCTAATGACAATGATGATATTGTCAGTGGCGTAACTAAGGGGTGTGAATATACCTCCCTAATCCAACAATGGTTACACGAGGCATATTTAATACAAAAATTTTGAAATATATGGGCTAATTTATTCAAAATATATTTAATTTCCCATGTAAATAGTTTTACGGGTGTGCTCGTCATATACCGTTATCTTCAAGCGATAATTCGAAATACAATTCATGCTTTAAACGAGACTAAAAAAAATTAGGGTGTGTTTCGTCTTATTTTATTAAAAGGCCCAAACAGATTTTGAACTAGGACACCCCATTTTGGTTGCTTTATATTTATATATTAAATAAATGATATTTGTTATTTATATTAGAGATCTACAAATCATGGCCCCGGGCCGGGTCTGTTTTTTAAAAATAATTTCGGTTCGGAATGGCTCGAACTCGAACTTAATATTTTTTAAATATTTCGGGCCGGGCTTAAATTATTAAATATGATATCCTTACATTTTGTTAAATATATTGATATATTTTAAAATTCTTGCAAGAAACAAGGCCTAATATTTTTTTATAATCAAAAAAAATATTAAATTTTTCTATTTTTAAATAAATTCGGGCAGGACCGGGCGGACAAATAATTTTTTATTTAAGGAAGGGATTTTCGGGACAAATAAAAAAAATTACGTTCGGGATCGGGCCGGACAGGCAAATTTTTTAAAAATAATTTAGAGCTTGAAAAATTAGGCCCCATGCAGATCACTAATTTTATTTTTTTTCCGAAGAATCTTTACCCTTTAAGTAAATCTAAATAGACTCTTTTTCTTTCTAGGCTGTAGACGGCTTAACGGACGACTCTTTTGTAAATAAGAATAATCAGGACACGGCTTTAGAATTTTTTGTTAACGACCGACCATACTATTATAAATATTTTAACATTTTATTCTTCCAAAAATTTGGCTAATAAATTCTAGGTTACTATTAAAATGAATTTCTAAAGCGTTTCCTTAACGCAAGAATAATATTTAAAAAAAAAAAAATTAGCCAAATATTTTGAGCAAAAATTGGATTTTTTCCTCAGGATCAAAAAATAAAAATTTTAATTTTCCTCAGTGACAATTTAATCGTGATTTCCTTTCAAAAAATTTTTTACAATGAAATCACCATTATTGTTTTTACATTATATATACAATTTAATAGAGATTAGGCAAATTACTAGTTATTAGATAAGAAATAATATTCATGGTTAAATTAAATAAGGAATCATAAAAATACAAATTAAAAAGATTTTTCTCTAAGATTCATGCACATATGGTTTATGGTTAATTTTTTAAAATCTAATTTATAAAAACCGGAACGGACCGAAAAGAACAGTTATAAATTCGAAATCGAATCAAACCGATATGAATTTTTTCAAAAAAAATCGAAATGGAACAAAACCTTTAAAATTTTTTAACTAAAAACCGAACCGCTATATTTAAAAGTTCGAAGCCATGATTTTAGGCATGAAAGATTTTTAATACATAAAAATCACAAAATATTTTTTACAATTTTTTTTTAAAGTTTAAGGTAAAATTGATTAAAATCCTAAGAAAAATTTAGAACATTTGAAACTCTGATTTCATATACATTAATATACTATAAAATTTGTGGTTCATACTGTATTTTAATGTGATATTACCAGTTATTTTAATAATTAGTAGGGATTAGCTTCGTTTTATGTTTTAGATATTGTAGATGGTTATTATTAAAACCCATTTTAGAACAATATTCTTATAAGCCCTCAAATAGTTTTCAGAATCCTATTGAGGCGTTGAAAAAAATTTAACTGGCCTTAGTAAATGTATCCAAAATCTCCCTTGCCAACTATGAAAAGATATTATAAGAAATGGTAGAAAGCTTAGTGAGAGTTAAACTGAAAATAAATTATATTTGTAATTTTTTTTACCCAATCAGCAGAGATTTAAACCGAACCTGAATCGTTATTATTTACCGAACCCTAAACATACCGTTAAAATATTTGGTGCCCGAACTATTTTTAATGAAACGAACCTGAAATTGTTATTTATATCTGAACCCAAACCGATATTCGTTATGGTCTTGGTCCCTGCCAGACAAGTTTACATTGTATTGTAATTATTTCTTCGATTTTCAAATTCAATACCTTTTTTATACAATTCATATATTTTTCAACCTGTGAAATTTATAATTTATGCGATATTTAAATTTCTTTTTTTATTATATGATTTAATTTCTTAGACATAAAATCACAATATTAACGGGCGCAATATAATTATCTAAAAAAAAATTCATTATTGTAATTTCTGTTTGTTTGCATTTTAATTAAATAAATATCTGACATTAATTATTTC